CAATCATTTTGGCAATCATTCTCTGATCAAGTGGTTCATTTCAAAAATTTAACAAAAGATATGCCTGAAGAGAAGGTATTTTCATTGATGTCCGATCCTGCTTGTTCAGGTAATTTTGTTATTTTATATTAAATGAATAGTGAGCAATATAGATTCGTAAGTCTTTTTAAAAAACTATCTGTAAGATAGTTTTAAAATAATGAAAAATTATACATCGAGATTTAAAAATGTATTTTTTTATATGTATTTATTATAAATATTGTTGTGTAGATACAAGTATATCAGAGGATTTACCTGCAGATGATAGTGGTAATCAACTGGATACAGATATAATTCAATCAGAGTCAATAGTGGGACAAGAAGCACAGAGTGAAACTGAGACAGAAGCGGAACCAGAACCAAAAACAAATACAGAGACCGAATCAGTAACACAAACAATAGCAGAAACTGAGTCAGACTTAATTGCTGAAAAGGAAGTAGAAGCAGAAGTGCCTACTAGAACTGAGAGTCCTAAGAATGAAACAATCAAGTAACACATGTAAAACTTTTTTTATCTAATAATGTGTAAACTTCTGCTTACTTTTTTGTATATCATTATGATACTATGAGAAAAAAAGAGGACAATTATGATTGAAGTACATCGGACACATTCATAAGACGTATTTTGGCTAGTATTTTTATGATCCTTTTTGTTTCATACGTGGTAAAGTATTTTAAAAATGCATTCTTATAGATATAACTTTTATATTAATTATACGGAGTGACAAAATTCGGAAAAATTTAATTCCTTTAGTAAAAAGTAACTATAGTATGCTCTATGCCATATTACATTCCTTATTATCTACATTAAAATTAACACAGTAATTATATATGTATACAATTATATGAAAAGCTAAAAGAACAACCGCAAAAAATATATGTTTCTCGTTCCTTGGTTTTTTAATCGAATTTTATTCCAAATCATAGCTTATATTGAAACATTAATCACAAAAAGTTTTACGTTAAATACGCGATTGGTTTCAGAAGTATAAAACATCAAAATACATTTCAAAAAAATTTTATTAAATTCGTGATATAAAGCTGTTGGTGTTATATTTTCTTAGTATTTGGTGATCCTTTTGATGCTATATATTTAAGTTGACCAATCACATGCTTAACTTCAAACTTCATGTGATTAATGTAATTAATCTCATCATGAGTTTTTATTTGACATAAAATTCCATTCCAAAATCAAGGTTCGAAAAACAGATGAAAAATCCACTCTTTTTGTGGTTGTTCAAAAACAGCTGGACTATTGATTTCCGTTATACATCCATTCATGAGTTTATTACATATATTTATTGTTCATCTATCTATATTAATTTTAACGAAAGTATAAAACAAAAATTAATTCTTACATATATAAGCCATCCAAGTAGTTGTTACAATAATGTAATAATGATACCAAATGAAGAATCATAAGAGTATCTTAAACCATTTCTGTAAATGCGATTACTTATATACGTGGAAATTAATCTTGTGAATTAGTTCTATTGTACTTTATTTCACATCTATAAATTTATAATTTGCATAATATGATTGCAATATACCCACATTATTACTTGATGCAATATCTGCAATCACTAACTGGACAATATCAGATAAACCTTCACTGTCAGATATTATCGAATGAAAATGGCTGATGTAGTACATAAAATTATATGAGACACATAATATTTTTACTTGACAGTAACATAGTGATGTCATGTATCAAAATACTAATCTTTGTATATTCAGCCAGTGCCATGGAAAAAATTTGTAAAGAGCACTCAGAACATTGTTACTGTCACGCAAAACTTACTTATTTAGTTATTGTAATTGATGTTAGCAAAATAAATACTGCATAAGAATTATAGCGCAATGAATGATACAAATATAATTGTACTTGCATCATGATTTAACGTAAGTTTTCTAATGTTATCTTTTAGTTTTCTTTATTAAATGATGAAAACTACTCATATTCATTACATTCTAAAGATAAAAATATGTATTATATTATTGCATGCTAATGTTTCTTTAAAAATATTTGTGACCTGATAAATACAATATACAATTGTTCGTATAATATTATTGTCAATCTTCTATTCTGTGTAATTAAATTATTACTGTCTTCATTAAAGTCATTACTATTACAATGATTATAATAAAATTATATAAAATGCTTGTGAAACAGTATCGAAATTGTACAAATTAGATGAATTAACAATTTTAACGCGGACATTATCACTTTAACATGGGCGACACGGCAATTATTATAAATATTTAATGATTGGTAAGTATTGAACTTCATTTTGTAATTAATGATACATATCTAATATATTACAAAAAAGAACAGAATTTAGTAATAATGTAATTTTTGTATTAAAATGTTCTTGTCGAAAATTAAAATAAATTATTATAGCAGAGACGATTATGGCGTCCAATATATTTCATCCATAGAATTATGTAGATAGACTGCGCATTCATATACAACTGATGATAATATTGAAAGACAAAAATATACATAGAAATATAAGAATGAGAATAGAAAGAAAATAATGCGTATTTCTTTTTCAAAAGAAAAGTGATCTCTTTTATCTTTTTATCACGTGCATAATTAAATAAGGAAAACTGTCTTTCTGCTTTTTTTTCAATGTTAACATTTTATTTTCACTGGAGAACGCAATCTATCTATTTAAATCTACGATTTTATAATTTTATCCTACAAGTCACAAAAATTTATTTCCACAAAAATATAAAACAGATTGTTTTAGTAGTTACATTGAATTTTAGGAAAATTATAGTCAAATGTAAATTAAAAACTGACGTTTTATCAAATGCATGAGCCAAATAAGAATATTTGAATGACTCGCGACAACGCTGTTTAAATAGTAGATTTATATTATTTTATTAAATTTTTAGATCTTTGGAATACTTAAGTTATTTTTAATTTGTGAAAACAAATTATTATAATGGATGCGCCACATATAGCTAATTAACGATTTGTTACAATAAATAAAAAATGTCACGTACTATTAAAAAGTAATATTAAAATTATACATGAAATCTGAAAAAAATGATATAAAGAATTAATTTTTAATTTTAATTTTATTAAAAATAAAAATATTCTACTTTAATCAATGTTTATTAAGCAATTTAGCAATATATTTAACAAATGCGAATTTCTAGCCATCATTTTGTAAACCTCGATAATTTTCAAGAGATATATTTTAAGAAATATTAACACTTATATGTTAATGTCAGCTTTATGTTTTTTCTTAGTGATGAATATATAGCTTTCAAACATTTCATGATTTATATGTAAGATATTTGTTAAACATATAATAACTTCATTCTGATATGGTAAAGTTAGAATTGATGGAGTATGAAAAGCACTTAAAACCTGAATTTATAAAAACATTACTAGGAAGGTTTGATGCAAATGTTTGATTTATGTTTGCAGAACTTGCATTAAGCTGATAACTAGAAGAGATAATCCACGAGTATATAATCTGAGCTTGAATATATTTCGCTTTACACTGTAATTTTGATAGTTTTGATAGATAGTCTAGAATTTAGAAGAGTAATTTTTAAATTATTCTATAATTAAAATATGACTCCTAAAATATGATACCTAGAAAAAATGCTTTTACATAAATCACGAAAAGAAGTGAAAAAAAATTTATAATATAATAGAGAAAAACTAATTAGCTTTAAGTTTAAATTGAAAATTATCGTAAGAATGTTTCTCTTATTTAAAATTTAATTTTTACAAATGCTTACGAGACATTTAATTTTTTCAAAAGCTCATGTAAATTAACAATACAAATATTATATTTGAAAGACTTAAATCCTTATATACAGATACGCCTTTAGATAAACTTCAAGTGGTATAAAATTCTTTTTGAAATAAATTTGAAATAAAAGAAATATGTTATAATTACGAACCGTATATAATATTGTTATTTTTTAATATAAATTTGCGGTAGAAGTCAGATATTTAATGCTAAAATGTTTTTGCATAATCCATAAGAACTCTAAATGATGGTAATAATGTTGACATTAATGACTATAGTACAATGTGTGTGCAATTATACAGAATTATTATTTTGAGTCATAAATTCGCGCTGTAATTAACTGGTATTACAGTTGGAGAACGAAGAACATATTATCGTATGTGTATATCGTGTCACATATATACAGATGATAAATATTCCAATAGATGTTAGTCTAACAATAATACGTAACAATCGACTATTTTCATCGTAGGGTCCGTGTCGACTGATATAGAGCTAAATTATCGACTTTATGTTCCTTATCACACGTTTATGAGTTTCACAAAATTAATATTTAATAATGTTTTGCATACGTGATGCTTGCAAGAAAGGTATTTGCGGAAGCATCGCAGCATATGCTCAGTGCTATTTCGTAAGAATTATAAAGCGCAACGTTAATTAAAATACACGTGAATTTGCCAGACTCGCAATTAGCTGTATATGACGTTCAAACAATCGCAATTAATTTGGATTCAGAGCAATTGGAAAGATAAATATCGATAAAATACGGATACCTCTTAAATTATTAATTTATGAATGATGCACGCGTGATATGTTTTAATAAAGAAGACTTAAAGTATGCAAATAAAAACAGTTTTTATATACAAATGTCTTAAAAAAGAAAATATTATATTAAGAAGATTGAATTGAAATATAGAAGATGTTTATAAATCATGAAATAAGGCATATGGATAAACTGACAAGATGTAATGAGAAGAAAAGAAGTAGATATTAACTTAGAATTAAAAAATTATGGAAGAAGATTCGGTTAAGAATTCAACTTCTATGAATGTCAATAAAATCTCCAATTTTTTAAGAAATATAAACAAGGAAAATTCTATCGTGGAAAAAAATAGTAAACAGAAAGTGACCAAAATAAAATCAGAGCTACATCAAGATTCATTTTGGATGTTCAGGATATTGATAATGTTCTTCAAGCTCATCGGTCTCGCTACATTCGCCCACCGAATCGTCATGTACAAAAAGAAACCGACATACACATTTCAATATTCCAAATTTGGAATAATCTACAATATTGTGCTGTGTAGCTTAATGGTAGCCTCGAACTATGTTTCTATACCATTCAGACTTAATATGGAGTACGAGAACAAGACGAATTTGACCGTAGGCATCGAAGTTCTGCAAACTGTACTCGGTGCCTTGGTGATCTGCGCGATTTTGCTTAGTTACTGCATCGATCAGAAGTCCTTGGTGCGGATCGCCAATCGATTAATGATCATCGAACACGAGATAGATCGTCTGTACGATCTATATCATCCGCTACGACGACAACGTATCTTCTGTGCTATAATCATCGTTTGCATCTTAAAGATTTGCCTGCTGATGCTTCTCTTATTTACTGAGATCCTGGCCTTCCATACGAGCCCAATCTCATGGCTAACAGATGTTTTACCGACATTTCACGTGGGTTGGCTACTGATACAGTACTTCCTGTTGGTCACGATCATTCAGGCAGATTTCGCTGATGTAAATCGAGCGATCCAAAGCCTCACCAAGATCAATACACCTGACCTTCGACTGCAGTCTCTCTATCAAACGCGTCGTATCGTAGTCGGCAATTCGACCGTTCATCAACTGTTGCAACTACGAGATATGCATTGTTATCTCTGTGAAATCTCTGAGGATGTGTCGAGTTTCTATTCACTACCAATATTATTCGGCATTACTTTTCTCTTTCTGACATTTATATATAATGGTTACTATCTTATTTCACCTCTGTTGATGACTGATGATATCTTAGAATATGAGACTCTTAGTAATACCATCATTTGGTTAATATTTCTGATTTATCCCATTTTTCTTCTTACCAACAGAATTACCAGGATTTTAATCGAGGTAGGATGATCAATATAGTAAGAGCGCGTTTTAATCAGATTGTTTTAATTGATAAAACAAAATATTTTTATCAGTAAATAAAATCTCAAACATTTAACGAAATATTTCAATTACAAATTTATTATAGATGGAGAAAACGGGAAATGTAGTGCATAATCTTTTGAGCTGTGCAATCGGAAAAGAGATAAAATCAGAGGTAAAAAACAAAGATAAAACTTTCTCAGGAACGGTACTCATCGTAACGACATTTATCTTAGATATGTTACAGCTCAAGAAATTTTCGCTTCAATTGCTACATCGCAAAATACTGTTTACTGCTAACGGATATTTTACGCTCGATAATACTTTACTTCATTCGGTGAGGATATTTAGAATGTCATATAAGTATAATATAATATAAATTAATTTTTTAATTAATAATTTTGATTATCAGCTGATTGGCACAGTGGTGACATATTTGGTAATACTTGTGCAATTTCAAATGGGAAGCTCGCGTTCATCGATCGGACAGCAATGTAACTATACAGGGAGAGATTTAATATAAGAAGCAGAATAATAAATTGAAAATAAGAAAAGATGAGAAATAATGAGGAGTCAAACTCTCTTAAATTGAGATCTAAATCCAATTAAATGTAATTAAATGTCTCGGAAATATTTTAGGCAATTTTATCATTAAATAGTGAAATCAAACGCTATTAATTTGCATAGGTATCAATGCAACCTGGCTAAGTATTTAATGTAGACATACATTATTTGCGATTTATGTATTTTGTAATGGGAAACAATAGTAAATCTTTCAGTTTTAATTGCATATTATTTATTTAAAGTAACACAGCATGATTAAATATATATATAATGACAGGCATTAGCTACTTTCCTTGTCAACTCGGAAACTAATTTCCAAGACGCAGTCTTTTCTACCTAATCACAACCATTTAATACTACATCGGCGAGTATAGCCCATCCACCATCGTGAATTTCGCAGCGATACGCATAAAAGTGTAATCTTCGAAGATCATTGGGAGAGAATACGTTTCTCCTAATTAACTCGTCGAAGATTATCGTTGAAACGCATTAGCACACATATCTCATACACGTTTTATTAGATTATTTTCATATTATACATTATATTTACGAATTTTACTATTTGCATTTTGTTAAATTTTGCATCTAAGATTATGGCATACCTTCCCTTCTGTCTTTCGTGTATTTATCTCATTACGATACAATACTCTAGGCTTCAAATACTATTCCATACCGAGTTGATATTGTGACCTCCGCTTAATAAATATATCTTATATAAGATTTTAAATGACTCATACGCTGGGGCACGCGTTCTTTACGTATAAATATACTTAAAAGTACGCACAATTATACTTTCCAATGCGATATAAATGTTTTATATTGTTTTAACCAAGAGTGGAAAGTAACGCGTAATGCGAGTAATTTACAATAGAAATCGTAGACAGTTGTGGAGTCTGAAATCGTAGGACGTAGAAGATTGATCCAATAGTCGATTATTCTTCTCAAATTTGACTATAATGGATCAATTTCTTATGACTTAAAACTCCACGATCGTCTACGATTCTTATCATAGACCACGTATCATTACTTCGTAACATTATAATTACCGTTACTTTTTTATAATAATAATTTTGTATTCACTTTACATGTTTTTTCTAGACAGTAACATAAAAGTATAGTGCATTACTTTAACTCGTTACGTAACTCATTAGTAACGCTTTACTTTTTTAAGTTATTACTCGTTATGTAAAAAGTTACTTTTTTAAACGAGTAACGCGTAAAGGTAACGACTTACTTCTCGAAAGTGACTTTTCCGATTCTGACGTTATCATTACTATCATAAAAAATTATTAATAAAATTATTATCGAGTTGTTATTATAAAAAAAAATAACGGTAACGGTAAGAGTATTACAAATAACACGTTATTTCCTATCTTTGGTTTAAATTGTAGGTTTTCCCTTGAGCCTTTCTACGAGTTAAATACATATTCTGTAAAACGTAATCTTTTGTTCCATGGTATTAAAACATATTTTCTCAAACTACTTATTAGCAAAATGGCTGTATAAAAAAATTATTCGATTTTCTAGAAATTTCGTATGAATATATATTTACGCGATAAATTACTGTATTTTGATAATTAGCCGAATTGAGAAGTTAAATTTTTGTTAATACAAATATTTTATCGGAAAGTTTAATACATATAAAAAATTGGATTATAATTTAATAAATTATTTTTTGCTATAAACAACATTGAAAAATAATTTCTTTTAAAAATAGCACATACTTATAAGAATTTTCATTTAACTAATTTATATATAACAGACTTATACTCTTAATTAATGAACAACTGTTTATGTTATCTGATAGAATATCTTCATTACTATTTAAGAAATAGTTTATGAGTAAATAATCACATAATAAATATTATATATCGCAGACTGTACAGAGATTGATGATATCTTCTTTTTTTTTTAATTACGAACAATAACAAATATCCTTCAAGGGACTGTTTTTATCACTCTATACATTGCATGTACAATATATCTTTATAATACGTAAAATTTTTGTCAAAAATCTTGCGATAATAAAATTAATTTCACTATAATTAGAATATTTTTAATATTGTCGCAATTGGGCGTGCTCAAATATTAAAAGTTATGATAATAGAAAATTTTGAAATTTAACGTGCAAAATCTTGGCTAGATTAAAATTTTAAGAAATAACAATCTGCTATGTATTTTTTAATAAGTATATTTGAGAATAAACTTTTATCTAAACTACTATAGGGCATTAAAAATTTTTTTGAGTTAATTCGATTATTTTTATGAAACAAGAGATTATTTCATGAATGTTTTAAAGAGGATTGTTTTAGTTTTGCATTAAAAGGCCGTTTGTAAAAGTTGCAAGATAATAGTATTTTTTTTAAACAAGAAAAGTGAATGTTATTCCATAATTTAGGGATAAAGAGTAAATTTATCTATACATATTAATTTTTTTACTGCTCTTCAAATAGCTTTCGTAATTCTTGTTCCCCAAGGTATTGTATTCATATTACTAAAGAAAGTGAATAAAAAATATTTAAGCGTAATTTTCTTAATAAAAAATGTTATAATCAAAAATTTCTTTCTTTTTTAATGTGTACAACCAGCTTGCAATAATGTAAGAGGTATCCCTCGAAGGAAGTATATATATTCGTACTACAGATTGTGGGGTTTTTTTGGCATATATACATAGTATGATTATAAAGTTACTTGAACTACTTAATCGTTACATGCAGAATCATATACATATTATTGTATGGTAACACAATAATTTTGCTTATCTTTTACGATTCATATAACAGAAACAAAATTTAACATGTATGTTAAATCTAAAATTACAGTTATCGATGTTCAAATATTCGAATAATTACAACTGCACACACACACTCGATTATTCGGCTCACGATATTTTGACATCTGCACGATACTTATGCTATTATTATTATTATTATATTATTTATTTCATACATATCTGTAAGAGTGAAAATTATCGATATTATAATCATTCGAATATTTAAATGCGTTGGAGTTTGAATGATTCGCCAGAAAGAGTAATTTTCCGTGAAAATTCGAATTTTACTTTGCAACTTGCATTTGTGTTTTATATAAATGCTACATATGTATTTAATATCGTATTACGATTTGGAAAAATGTGCGTTTTTCACAACTTTCTAGCATAAATATATCCTTATTGATTTGTAAATCAATAATTATCGTCAATGTAAATTCTAGACCATATTATCTAAAGAAGATGCATAGCAATATAAGAGATCTTTTTAGACTTTATCATATTTTATTTGATGTCGTTACACTCACTAAAACGTAAAAACATCTACCTACTATACGCTTTTATCATTTTAAATTTTTCTAATTGTTTGGAATATTTCTTCAGTTCCTTTTTTCCTCTTATTTTTTGTTTTTCTTCAAGTATTCTTGCAATTCACATGCAATATTAATGAAATGGAATTGGTTGTTACATAAATAACTACTAAAATAGACTGTTTTGTGTAATACTATATGATTACCTTATCGGGGATAAGGTTTCATAAAATCACAATTGAATGTATTGAATACTATTGGCGAATTTTGTTGAATTGTTTCTATGTACAAACATATTGAGACTATGAATGATGGATCTCATTTACAGCAGTGTACAAATTGCAATATACTCGCGAAAAGCGCATTATTCGTTAAATATAATACAAATATAATACAATTGAAAGTAATAGATAAATGATAGAAGATATTTAAAAAGGATGAAAGTTTTTAGGGAATTAAATCATGCTCTATGATTTTTATGTAAGTTAAATGAAAATTTATAAGATAAGAGATTGCAGAGTGGAGACTCTAAAAATGAAAGTCTTGAAACAATCGAGTAAAGAAGCTTATAGATTGTATTAGCATATGTTTGTTTTCGCTGTCCTCTTGTTAAACGGAAGTTTCGGCTGAGGTAGTACCATTTGCTTTTAAAGGACTGATGCTTTCCTTGGATCGTATTAAATCTACCTGAAATATCGAATTAAAGTATATATTAATTTTTTCAAGTTAATTTTTACAACTTCTTTTAATAAACTTCTTTTAATAATTTTCCTTATATGCTGTTCCTGAGAAAGATGAGCAAAATGTAAATTATTAAATTGCATTTCTTGATTACAATTTCATAAATGATCTTAGAATTTAGAAAATTTACACAATAGACGTCATATAGTTAGAAAGAGATACAAATATATTTTATATGCAACATACATACATATATTATATTATATACACTTATATATGTTATATATGTATATATATCAGTTTGTCTCATCTAAATTTGGCGGCACACGATGCTTCGGAGTTTGAATAATTCGCCAGAAAGAGTAATTTTCCGTGAAAATTCGATTTGCAATTCGTATTTGTGTTTTATTTGTGCCACGTATGTATTTTTTTAGTGTCATATCACAATTTGGAAAAGTGTACGATGCTAGCAATGCCAGTACCACAACCAATACAATAGCAATAAGTACGCAAATCCAGCTAACAATCCAGCACAAAAAAGAAAGCATCGCGTGCCGCCGGTTTTACATGACCACTTTTTATAACTTTGAATAAAAAATATGTTTAGACAAAAGTTGAATAACCTGATGGGATAAAAATAAAGATAAAATTGAGTTTTCATTATCGGTTGAAAGTTATAGCAATTTTTTAAGTAGATTTATATCATTCTTTTTGCATAATATTTTCTCTAATTATTCTACATGTAAAAGTATTAAGGTAAAGATATTGAAATCAATGGTTTTTACGAAATATTTTGTACTTTATTCTGGCACACTTTGATATATTTTGAAATATCTTTTAATAAACTATTAATTTTTTGATAATCATATTTTTATATTATTTTTATGTACAAAATAAATGGTAGAATGAAGTTTTGAAATATCGTGTAAATTATTGATTTTTCGATATCATTATTTTAATACTTTTATGCATAATAAACAAAAGAATCATATTATATTTAAAAAAATATAATTTTTTTTTAAATGACCATGTCCTTCATATAATGATAAAAATCGATTTTTTTTTACGAAGTAATTTTATTTTTATTTATGCCTCGTTAAGTCATATAACCTTTTTCTAAATATATTTTTTAATTCGATCTTGTCATGCAAAAATTAAAAGAGGTCATCACATTAAATGAGACCCCTTGTATATATTACGTATATACAAAAGATACATACACTAAAATACTAATAGTATAACTAAAGTGTATTTACAATACTGTGTCGTATACAATATTACAAATACATGTATCTATATATGTTACATTTTTTAAAAATCATCTTTTACTTATAATAACATTTTTTTCTTTTTGGTATTCCATAATATGGACTAATAATGACAATTTTATTTTAATAAATTTAGGGCAATAAGTATTTTATGTATGCATCTCATTGATATAACGAAGAGATAACATTTTTAACGCTCATGCAAAAAGCGACTAACGTTGAAAGCAATAAAAAAAGAAACATGCGATTAGAAAAAGAGAGAGAGAGAGACGTTTCTATTTTACAAAATGAGAAAACGTTATATTATTCTAATTTTTTTTATTATCTATATATTCTAATTTTTATTATTCTAAGTTCTTCTAAATTTGTATATTGTGCTTTGTATTTTTTTGTCAATTATTTAACAATAAGTTGCACGATTATTATTTTTATTTGAATTAAAAAATTGCGTATAATAATATATTTTAAAATATATATATTAAGCATTTCAAATAGAAGGATAAGTGATACTAACATATTGTAAAACAGATGAAATAAATCCATATCTAATGTCTTCTCAGATCGTTTATTTATTTCGTTATTTACATTAACAATAGGCACGCACGCACACACACACACACACACACACACACACACACACACACACACACACACACACACACACACACACTCAAAATCTCTACGAGCATAAGCAAGAGTTGCTAAATTGAGTCTCATAGACGATTACGCTACGAAAAAGACAAAGCATAATTAATTATATGATCGTACATGATAAACAGATTCTAATAACAATAATAAATTAAAAAAATATTTCTTAATTTATATATTTTGAATATTTTACAACGGTGAAGTAAAAAAATGAAAACTTACACGAAATTTCGTTTATTCGTGAATATTTTAATACGTTAATATTATTAATAATATTTAATTATAATCTTAAATTCTGTTATCGTTGTCATTATGTAATAAAAAAATATATTTTGTCGTCTATGAAAATCCATGTTTTCTACAATGAGTCGTCCGCGTCTGAATTCGCTTTTTACGTCGACTCGACGAGGATTGTCATGCCATCCTCGTTTGTAAATTTACTCACAGCGGCGGTGCATGGGATATGTTGCATGCCGTTATATTGGTGCTCTTGCTGTGTGTCTTGCCATATGAATTGTCGGTTTTATTGGTGATGGTAGTTAGAATTTAGAGTCATTTACGTGTGTCACCTTGATCGAGATTCCACCGTCATCCTCGTCCTCTTCGGTCATTGTCGTCAGCCTCGTTGTCTCGTCGGTCAGCAACGAGTTGTCCTTCTTTGGATGTTTCTTTTGCTTTCCCACACTACGTCAATTACAAATTTAATTACAGTTTAAAAAATTAGATGATAATTTGAAGTTAATATTTACATTAATCTTTTTTTTTTACTCGAAAATTATCAAGATCATTGTTATTATTGTAAAAAATGTAACAATATACTAAAAATATTTAAAATTCTTCGAAATTCAACTTACTTGATTAGTGATTTTGATTGTTTCGTTTTTTCGTTGCCTTCATTGACTTGTTGCCAGATACCAGTTTTGTTCACCTCTTCACTGATATTGATACTCGCTAAAGGAATCTTCATGATGTTCCCATTAGCTAAAGAGATCTGAATGTTCTCCGGAGGTCCATATCCCATCGTTTCGTTTTGATCCTGCAGTACGAATGAAACAATAGTTTGAATCTCAATCTTGTTATGTGTGAAGAATTTCTATCAGGCCATGCATAAATTCAAGCGAACTTTGCGTTGCCTTCGAACTGCTGGGAAGCAGGTGAGACATGTTGCTTGCCAGCATATCTTTCAGTCGATCAATTATACGATAATTATACGAGGAAGTAATAACGATCAGTCAGGGGCGTCACGTAACACTATGAATAAATTTACAAGGGTGTGACTTGGCGTGTAGATAAGTCTAACAAAGAGAAGAATGCACAATAGAAAAATCAGTGCGACGAATTTGTGATGACGATAGAATTATATTAGTTTCGTGTCATTTTTTTTTTTTTTTAGGGAGAGGAAATAATTTTAATAAATATAACGATTCTGTTCACCTTGAGAGTTACGATCATAATTTGTATCAGTATTTTGTATTATTTTATCGATATATCAATTAATAATAATTGACATTGATATTTATATTTTGTGAGGAAGTATCAATATTTATGACAATACCAAATTAGAAACAAGTATAAACATGTAAAGGCACATTTTGATATTTTAACGTTTGCAAAACGTCTTTTCAATAGTTTGATGCTTGAACATCGTGCAATTATACTAATATGATATTGTTTTGGTTTTCAACTATAAGTGTAAGCTGTAATATATCCTTGCTTTGTAATTTTCAAAAAATTCACAACATGCTGTTATTGTATTTAATTTAGTGGCGCATGATTACTATTGAAACGCATATATCGCAATGTGCATCGTCGCGTTCATTCACCAAAAAGTCTCTCCGATTACAAACGGACGTAGGATGTTCGCTGAATCGTTTATTTGCGAAAAGAGCATGTCGACTATATGCGACGAAACTACGGACGTGCACTTATGGTGACGTACCGATGACAGGCGGAGGATTCGACGACTGGCGTATTTTTTCGTTTGTGATTTCCGTATTGATATCTCCGTGTTTGTCTGGCTCGTGTGTGATTTCTTTCAGTCGCTCTCTCATTTTCTCTCGCTGAATCGTCACTCTCCTCCGTGAGTCATGGTGTGCTTCCGCTCAGTTATTCTGTCTTTAATTGCATTGTTAACAACGAATGCACGCAATTGGCTGTTATACGGTGCATGCTTTACTTAATCACTCGCTCGCGTTAAGATAATTTTAAAAATATTATATTCCTTTTACTGGTATTACCGTACCGTATAAAAAAAATACACATAATAACGATTATATGCAGATCAAGTTTTAACTTATTTTTGTTTTCGTAAAATTACAATGAAAAATATTGTTTCTTTGTTGTTATTAATTTTTAGAACTCTATAATAAAAAAGAAATTAAGAAAGTGACAGTTAAATGGAAACTTTTTTTTATGACAAAGTTCAGCATAATAAATTTGTAATAGTACTTTTGCAGTTTAGCCGTTAAAAAGTTGCGATTCTTTTACAGTAAATTTAGTTTGTATTTTAATTACAGAATAAAATTAAATGTAGAATCTATAGGATCGAAGCAGAGCAATGCATTAAAAATGAGATTCATTTTATAATAAGGAAATTTAGCGTTAATTATCACGAAACCTTAAGCTTATTTTATTATTTTATATGTATAATTAACATAGTATATTTTATATTCTTTAGGATAATTCAAAATTTTGATATTTGAGTATTGTGGGAGATAAAGAGCTCTCAGGCAGACGAACGTGTAAATTATATGAGTCATTAATTGTGTTAGGAGATACTGGAATTATAAAGAAGTTTCGTGTGTTTCGAAACAATAATGTATTTTTACATGATAAGATACGTGAACTGCGTGTACGACGGCGCATTAATTAAATCGATACAAGAGTCTCGAATGATTCACAGAAAAGCAGATTAACGACACGGTGATATATTAAATGCAATAACACTTCGTTTCGCCAAGTCGCGAATATCAATTGCGATGTATCGATTGCTACTCGATGAATATCTTCGTTGATATCATTTGAATGATAGGCAACCTGCTTTCCGTTTAATTAACTAAGAGTATATTAAAAATTGGCAATGTTGCGAACATGTACTCTCCCATGGTGAACTGATCATGATTTTATTTCAAACAGCCCTTTGTTTACTGTAATGTTGGAATGTATAAATTATTTAGAAGAAGTGCTACATTAATTTATTCGAATGTACGAACAAAAACGATACAATATTGCTTACCTTGCAACAATAATTTACCTTAACTACCGTTAATAGTTTGCAATGTCGTGCTCGATATACACGACTATGCTTGTAACTATTATACTCGTAAGAGTATTATTCAATTATATTACGGCGTAACAACGAAAACTGCATTTGCTTATCTCTATCTTAAATTCGCCTAAGATTATGTAACCAATATATGTATATATAAACAAAGATAATTGTATATAATCCCATCAATGACATCACACATCAATGAAGACATCGATAAAAATTTATCGCGCGCGGTTCACCATTGAAGAATAATCTGGAAACTTGGAGCGAATTATTGCACAAAATAAAATTTCGGGTAGTCGTCGACGTGTTCGAAGCGCTCGCAAAAACAATCAACACATTACTCTAATTTCGCTACAACAACGATGCTATCGATAAAAACGTTTAAGATTGCGGTATCCAAAGGTTTACCGTATTCAAAAATTCAACAACGATTATATCATAACATTTACTTTAATACTGGTCGGTTAGTACACCACCTGGATTTGAGGATAAAAGTTGTTTGGCACATGTTCCAAGTGGAAGACGAGAGGATGGCTTTCAAGGCCGAGATTTGGTTCGTTAAAAAAATATGCCGCATAAATGCTCGAAACAACAATATATTATGTATTTTCTTAAAATGAGTAAATTTCAAGTCGTGTTTCAAAAAATTTCTACAGACTGTAAACAGTCTATGTGCGCGTTTTCAGAATGATTTTTTTATATGGTACCATTCTCGTCATCCTGTTTCAGGCGGTGAAACGTCATTTGCAAAAATAAAAAAATTCTTGACCGCAAAAAGGAGCAAAGTGTTTTTGCGACGAAATAGTAAAAAGTATGGGTTTTTTTGCGTAAAAATTATTGGTCCGTCCGTTTATTTATTTTTTTTTTTAAATTATTAAAGGCCAAGTTTGGCACTTCTTCTGTGATAATCTTAAATTATCCGGCGTATATATGTATAATTATGCGCTTTAAAGTAAATTATATTCTAGCCTCATATTCGGAGATCCTAAATCTTTATTCGAATTTGTTCCGCGCAGCGACAAAAAACTAATTCGTTTTAGCTGACATTCGTCCGATCACTCATCGTAGTATACATCGTTTCTTCTACAAAGGGCGGATTCTCCAAAGTCGGAGAGAGTTATGGTGACCACGGGGCGAGCGTTCGCCACGCGATCACCTTCTGTATGCTATTTGCGACAGGTGATGGCGTTTAATATTCGTGTCGCGGTGCTAACCTCGCCGTTCTCCAGCTTACGAAGATCATCGGCGTGTTTCTTGGTTGTTTCCGGCATTATGTCGTCGAGGATTTTCAGCTCGCGTTGCGTAAACATCAAATCCAGGGATTTACGTATACCAATCATTACCACGAGCTGTAAAGATTTATATTATAGATTACAAAGGTATAAAAATTTATATTAAGAATTATATCCTCGAAAATATGTCAATTGTATGCTTACTCCAAATATGTCAATTCTAAGATTAAAATTTTCAGCTTTATGATCACACACTACAATAACAGTTTAATATGTGCATTACGAAATGATATTATCGAGATATATACATATACCTGACTTTCTTGTCATAAAATGATGATCTTCTAAAAGACCAATAATTTAATTTACTTTATAAAATAATTTATTATTAGATAAAATGGTTAATTGATTTTTTGTAATAGTTATTTTGCAAATAAAAAGAATAGTATGTTTCCATTTAAATCGTAATTTTTCTGTTTATTAAACTTGAATCAATAATTTGAGAAAGTTACAATATTACTATTAAATTACGAATGACATACTAAGGGATCGTACTTGGATTAATTACTTACCATTAAAGGAAATAAAATAGAAGTATGACTAAAGGATTTTATGAGCCACAAACAGGCGAGGCAAGCAAGTTGAATCGCAGTGAACATGTGTACGCGTTTCAATGGAACCTAAAAACATGTATTTGCTTTAAATATTGGAATTAGAGCTTTTTTACAATAAGAATATAAATAGTTATTTATCATGTATTTTTGTATGCTTAACACGATTCTGTTAGCTATTAATTTTAAGAAAAATAAAATTAAAGAACCCAAAAACGATTTTATAGCAAATTTCTAAATTTTATTAATGCCACGCGAAAGTATCAAATTTCATTTCAAAATGTATTTTGTTTCGTGTCGATATAAGTCTTTGTTTTTTAAGATATAGCAATTTAAACAGAACTCTTTTCTAAGTAATATATTGAAAAGACATTTTATTCCGTGCATTTTTTTTATTCCATGCATTTTATTATATGCGTGAAATTTTACTACATTATGTGAAAAGTGCTTTTGTACTTACATAATGAATATAACGGAATGAAATGGATTTTATATTATAATATTTTTTGGTTTAGTATGATCCGATTATATTATATCAATATCTACAAAAATATTTACTTTTAACGTAATGCATGAATTAAGAATAAAATATCCTTTTCATGTATCATATAGAAAAGGAGCTATTTCCAAATTAAAAACGGAAAATCATACTGAAATGAAAAGAAATGCATTTCAAAGCTAAAAGTTGATACTTTTACTTAATATAACATGATATACATATTAAAAAAAATTTTGATAAAGCTACAATATCATAAAAATTTTTTAAATCATCATTTTTGTTTCATTGACGCTATTTTTCTCAAAATTAGGGTGCGTTCCGTTTCACGCATGATGTGCATAATGTATCATTTATTGTTGTTGCTAACTACATGTTAAACAAGGACAATTGGTGCATTATGCTCATCATGCAAAAAATGGAACGCACCTATGATGTAATAGTCAATGTTGATCAATGGACGATTTGATGTTCGGATAAAAATACTATTCACAATCGAAAATGACTATTCACAATCTTGTTGAAAAATATTGTTGGATAATGCATAATCAGATTAATAAGAATTATAAAAAAATTGTAAAAGCGGTTTTAAAATATTTTATTAAAGTTAATATTTTGTTAAAGATAATATATCTTAAAAGAAATATACAAATTTAGAATGAATGCGTTTTAACCTACTTTAAAGCTTTTCAAATATCGGAACTATTCGCATACCTGGCGAAGAAACATGTAGTCTGGTTGATATTTAACGGGCATCAACATTATTAGAATCCTATCGAAGAATTGAAGACCTTTTAGCGACGCGACACCCATATACAGGAAGACACCAAACAGCACCGGCATCGGTATGTTTCTTAGCATCGGTGTTAGGAGCACCGAGCACCCGATCATCAGGAAAATCAGTATGTGAGTAACTCTTTGTTCGCGGACACCTAGAAACTGCGGCTTCTCTCCCGGCGCGGCGCACTCGGATTCTAATTTCAATGAGTTCACGTGATTTATGGAGAGAACTGTCGCTGCGACAAACCACGGAAGTCCCATTACCGAGCATATCTCGATCAAGATCGCCAGCACAAAAAGATCTAGGTGGTACCCGCATCCTTTCTGGAAAAGTATTAAAAAGATCTTTGAGATAGAATTTATTATTGCTGTAATATTGTTGTTAATTATTCAGTGTATTCTTTTTTAATTTATTTCAAGTGATATATTTATTGACGAGAATAGATAGAGGCATAACTATACTGCATCGTAACTACTCACCTTTAACTTGTTTTCTTTTCTATTAACAATAACGGCCGTGATTTGCTGATCCATGAAGATCAATATAGTGCCCAATAAAGCAGGGAGGCATGCTCCGATAGCACTCCACCACGGATTCCCTTGAAAAGGCCAGATTATCCATCCTCGTCCTTCCAATGTTGGTTTGAACTCCGTTGGCACCTCTAATTTCGGTGTTGGAATACCCACGACATGATCCAACGTGCTCATAGAGAATATCGCGATTATTACTGCAAAATCGCTCACCACTTGCCTTACCTAAAGTAACATGGGAATATCAAGAAAGAAAATTGCTAAAATTGGTAAATGTGACAAAGATGAATTATTGAGTCCTTAATAAAAATAAAGATATGTTTATAATATATTTTTATAGAATATGTAACAGTTTTATAACTTCTTTGAGCTTTATATTTCCAATGAAGATGAAGCTGATCTTGTATCTTCTCCTTTAATTAAAGCATATGTTTTTACCTTTGAGGGAAAAAATAAAGCGTTCTTGAAATCTTTGAGCTCTATTGATAGTAAGAACGTGCCCATGAATAGGATAATTGACATAAGGAACACGTCGGGTACATAATGTGGTATGTTGCAGCCATCGCCCACCATAGTGCCATTGTAATTCTGTGAAAGAAGTAATAACGAATACGGCATCAAAGCAAGAGCAAATTAGATTGCTTAAAAGATCGTATTTTCTTGCAAATTTAAAAACACCTAGTAATCTACTTTGTACACAGGAACATGTAATTTCTCAAGAAGATGTAAGAAGAAGCGCATATGCGTTTGACTGCGATTGAGCATAACGAGACATTTGTGTGCCCTTTCCTTCTCATTCAAGATATCAAATAAAGTTATCAAGTGAGCTGATATTCAAATAAAATTTGCAATTTTTATTATGACATGAGGTTACATAAATAACTAAGATAAAAATTATTTTGATAATCTTATAATATAACTGAAGTGAGACCCGACTGCCTGCGTTGTTAATTGGCTAATTTAATATAAAATTTTCTGATCTTTTGGTTCAATGGAAAAATTTCAGTCGCTGTGCTTAGTGACTTATAGTTAATCGTAATATGATCAAACGGAACGCTCCGATATATTTAGTTATATTAATGCGCTTTAATGAAATTCAGATTTCGAGGTATATGTGGAACAGTCTATTGTTTTTAACAAATGAGCAAATGCTTAACTTGTCAAATATACTGTGATTTTACATTATTTTGAAAATTATTACCTCGCAAGTTGTTTTATCTAACATCGTCCAATTCATACTGTTATAACTGGATGGTAGACTGGTATTCGGAGGTTTGCACCAGCAATCGTAGCCCAATGTATCGTCAGGATAGGTATTTAAAGGATATTTCTTACCAATTGACAGCACATTTTCGATTGCCTAGAATATACTGATACACTTAATATATATAAGACGTTAAACAGATAACAATATAAAAAATATCATAAATACAATTTTCACTTTAATAATCGAATGCATTAATTTTTTATGATTAAATAATACGTTTTTCTTTAAAAACTTTTAATATTGAAGAATATAGAAATAATCGATAAGAAATAGTAAATCTCGCTGGATAAGCAATACGATTATTTTCATACCTTATAGATAAAAATGAAAGCAATAAGGGTGGCAAAATTTTCCTCCGTAAATCGAGTGATATAACAGACGCAAGCACTTGCGTCAAGAGCCACGAGAATCATCAAAATTACGGAGATCCATGTACCGATCCAGAAACGAAAAGACATGTAAGTCCAGTCGACCTTTCTGCAAGAATAACGATCTGATCAGATTATTTTGAAGAAAGAAGATGTTAATGGATAAGATTTCCTATTTTATGCGTTGATTGATAGTATCTTCTAAAATTACAATAAACAATGCTAATTATTATTAGTTATAGAAAGTAATAAACAATACTAATTTTATTTTTATTATTAGTTACAGAAAGTAATAAAAAATGCTATAGAAGTTAATTGAAATAGATTATCTATCAAGGCACTCACTTGCAGAATTCGTAGACAATCGTCTCGAAAACTAGAACTGGACCAGTGGAACCAAGTATAGTCAATGGCTGACCAGAGAAGAAGCCATATCCAATACCGCAAACGAAACCGGAAACTAGCGACTCCATAGCAGCCATATTTTTTCCGGTAGCTTCGCTGAGGAGGCCACCGAAAGTAATAATAGGTGATAAGCAGGCGAAATACAAGAAAATAAAAGACGCGACGCATTGAAGTGCAAGAGCATCCTTGAAATCAGAAAAGTAAAATGGACCTTTCCTTTTAACGTCGTTAATCAGACCGCCGAACAATCTACCGGTTCTTGAAAGGCCGGATTCCTCCCTTAGCTTTTGTTCATCAGCTTCCTCGTCGAACTCTTCCTTAGGCTTTTCCTCTTTGGGTCTCTTTCTGACTTCCTGAGGATATAAAATCCAGCTAAACTTGTATTTTTTAAAAATGGATGTCAAACTGATATAATTTTGATTATTTCAATTTTCGATATTATGGACACACGCAAGAAAGAATTTTTCTTATCACACGCTTTCGTCGCCGATAAAGATAGAGATTATTTTTATGCATTTAATTATGTAATGATCGTTGAGATCCAAAATCATAAAGATTCTATATCACTTCTTATTCCTGATAAGGCTATTCTCACCTGCGACGGTATAGCGGCTGGCGGTTCTATTCTGATTGCTGGATCCCACTCACCAGGTGGTAATACCGTCACGGCGTCTAGGAACTCGTCAATACCAGCTAAGAGATGATTTCTATTTTTCGCCTTGTAAGCCACATCGTGGAAGACTTCGTCGGACATCAAGGTCGCCATAGCTCGACCAATCTCGTGGAAACCCGAAATCCCGCCCTAAAGACGATCCATGTATGTGTGTATACATATATGTATAATGAAAAGTATTATAATTTTCTCGACATATATTGTTCAACATTTAGAAACTGGCCAATTTTATAAATCCTTATAGGTATGTGTATATATATTCGTGTATCGTTTGATATAATTTTAGTATCGTTATATATATTTTCTCCATCTCTTTTTAGATGTATATACTCTTTTTAATAATTTATTTTAAAATACCATCATAAAAAATAACGCATTAACAAGATTATTAATTATTGCATAATTTATTACGAAGAATTACTTAATACAAAATAACGTGAGTTGAAACGTTAGGGCTTTATAAAAACCTGAAGATACTATCAACCGCGTATAACGCGTGAAAATAACCAATATCCCTGTTTATCGATAAATAACTTTTGTCACAGAGATATTATATATAATACAATCTAAGAACTGATATGACGTAAATTCATTTTTACTCAAGAAAGAAAGACGTCATCAAAATTCGATTTAATGCGCTATTAGGTTTATCATTAATGCTCGGAACGGTTTCTCACATCTACGTGTGCAAAATTGAATAATTTATATAATTACAAGATTGTTATTAGGAGAATGATATTACTTTAATTTAAATTATTTTTATGTTTAATGTTCTTTAATATTATTTAATATTATTTTTAGTAACATTAATTAATATTTTATTTGAGCATTTGTACAATATCCTTTATACATATATTTTTTTATTATAAATTGTAGAAAAATTGTTAATAAAATGATATACATATATATATATATAAATTAACATTTTTTGTTCATGATTAGAAAAACAAAATTATTCAAATTTAAACCACAAACGTAGCTAATGAAAAGAACCATTCTAAAAAAATGATATTATTATATGTTAAAATACAAGCATGTTCAGTTCATAAGCTATTTTAAGCTTGCAATGGCGCATTTAAACCGCATTTGCGTGAAAAATAAATTACTTTACGTATAGGTTCCTAGTGATAATAATCAGCGGACACAAGCAGCATGCATGACTGCTTATTAAAGATTTAATTGCTTCACTATGGAAAAGATGGCCTTCTCGTGTCTTAAAGTGACATTTAAGTGTGCATACTGTATATAGTATACATATATATAGTCCATACACATAAATGTAAAATGAGAACCTTGAGCAAGTGCAGGTTTTAAGACAGTTCGGACTAGTTTGCTCCGTTTTTAGGTCTCACCTATTCGAGATTGATTGTGGTGAAAGATTGCCTGTGATAAGCCTTGATATAACTTTAATAGCCGAGTAGAGATATTGACTCGTGCAGATAATCGTCAATTTAATTTAAGAGAAAGTCGAAGAAATCGTTAATGGTTGCTATCGCACTAGAATATACGGCAATTTTATTTAATAGCTTTATATAGCAGAAAATTCTATTTGCATTACGTAATTTATTTATACGTTACGTTGATGTCTAGTAATCTAGTATTTTAAACGATATAAAGTTTTGGACTCGCGTGTACTGTACTTGTTCTGAACTTCTTTTGAACAAATAGTCTCTAAGGGAATCATCTGATACTTCCAAATTCATAGCGTTTCGAAGTAAATGAGTTAGAGTTTCAAAAGAGACAAAAATAGCAATAATTTTATTTTCTTTGCTATAGAAAGTTATTTTCATCACGAACTTCAGTTGAATTTAGTTTACATGACGCGTTCACAATTTATATGATTTGAAATAAAAAGAAAGAAGGTAGGTTATACTCATGATATATAATGATAAGAATCATAGTTATATTTATAATAAAAATATTTTAGTTAAAAAGTCAAAAAGAAGGGATATGTATATAAGATAAAGTAAATATTAATTTTCGATAGATTTTTAACGAAATCATAGATTTAATGTTATCTCAACTAGAGGTTGCGCGGGTAAACTTACAATTAGATTTATTATTCTGAAAAATATTTCTCAAATAAATTCCTTATAGATGAAATAAGTATTAGTATCGATAATATTATTTTGATTATTAATTTAATAATGTGATTTTATATTTTCAGATTTTGATAAAACTGTTTCCTATTGATAAAACTGTGTTTTGAGATCAAATAATAAACAGTCATATACTTTAAAAGGAAGAACATATATAAACATACATTATACAAAATTCACAAAATTTATTAGTAGATATAAAATCGCGTTGACTAAAAATATCATTTATTTATCTTATGTTACATATTTTACATATCAGTGACTGTTTATTTATTAAAAATTTTGCAGATTTTGTTGAAATTATATGGAATGTAAATTGGTTTTTAGTCTATTCATAGGTATATGAAATGTGCTGATTAAAATAAAGTGTATCATACGTATAGTAGTCTCTTTTCATCGCAGCACTTATAAATCTAGCTTCTAGCTAATGCGCGAACCTCAAAGAAATGATTCTTAAAGTAGGTCGAGATCATTATTCTCTCGCTTTTCATTCTTTTTTTGCATTTAATCTGATATCATAATCGTGATAGCGTTCTTACCATGGGTCCCAGGAGGACAAAAATGAATCTTGTCGGAACAGGAACTTCTGTCAAGTCCCCCATCATTCCAGCTTGGCTTAACCGGATGAATGCGGATAAAGTCTTGTCGAGGAAATCGACCTCACCTACGAGTATGTTGCTTGCCTCAGCGCCGGCAGGTATCTTCCTCATAAAGTGCGTATTACCCTAATGAGAAAGTGGAGTTGAAATTTCTTAGGTTAAGCTGTCCGTGATACGGAAAATCAATCTTGATATTAAAGGGAAAGAATTAGAATAAAGCCTCTTTACTAAAGAAATGTTAAAAAAAATTAAGCGATTCTCGTTGGTCTTTATATTAAAAATAGCAGAAGGTAATTGGTCAATTTATTTAAGCTCTCATAAATTGTGAGCTTTATTCTATCTTTATCACTAATTACATACGACAGAAAGATAGGATAAAGCTTATATAGCGCGTGAGCGTTAAAACTGGACGCGCAACCTATAATAATTATATTAAGCTTTCACGTACGCGCACGAAGCTAACATTATGTGTATACGAGTATCACACAGATTTACAACTTTTAATTATACAATATTTAATTCAATATTTCACAATAATCTAAAGATTATCATAATAATGATTTAATTATTATGATGATTTAAAGATTACAATTTAATTGTAAGTTAGATACTTTTTATAAATCTTCATCGTATTGCATAACTATTACGGTGACGTTACGCTAAATTAGGAAGATCTAATTTTTCAAGGATTTGAATAATGTATTTACGAACCCTGTGATTAGCGTCTCCGTTCTCTAAAGCGGAAGAGCTGTGATTTCTGCTGATGGACACGCTGCTGGGACTCCGATCCATGCCGTTGCTGCCTGGTTCTTGGCCTGAAAGAGATCTAGCTTACTACCTACTGCATTTTTACAAGCAGCCTGAGTAATAATCCCTGTCAATAGCATGCAACGAGGAAAATAATGGCTTTTTTTCGCCTGTGCGTCATTAATCCTCCAAAATGCACGCGAGACAGATTGCAATTTGTGCAGCTCGAATTTCACGCGCCACATCATTCGCACGAATTCATCTCTGCGATGGAACAACACGTTCCGCTTTAAGATAATTTGTCACAAGATAGAAAAGAGCAAATGCGTTCACAACAAAATCATTTATCAAATCTTCGCAGAAACTTATGAATTTTCTCGTGGTTGATTCAAGTAGTATGTTTGTAAAATAACAAGAAATCAGCTTAGAAAAGAAAATTTTCAAAAAAATCGTTCTTTTTAAACATAAACGTAAAATTTGCTCATAAATTCAAACCAAAACTTTTTATGGTAGAAATAACGTAAGTTTAGAACATACCAGAACACAGATCTTTAAAAAATTAAAATGCGGTAATAAAATTGTAATGTTAAATACACAATTTATAATATTTATTAAACAAACATCAATCCGCAGGTAAAAACGTCTTATTTGAGCAGGATTGTTGAAAATTTATCTTTAAAGAAGTCACGAAATAAAACCAGCATTTTATGTAAATAAAATGAATGTAAGAATGCTTATTAAAGATAGTTTTTAACAATTTATAGACATTAGTGATTTTTTTAATCGTGAAATAAAATAATATTAATTTCTATATATTTTCTATATATTCATAATTATAATACAAATAATGCAATATTCACGGTTTTGTCTTATTTGCAACATTATGTTGCAATTTTATATTATCTCTGAATTTTGTCAATTAAATGCTACTTTGCGAAACAAATTATCTCAAAGTCTCATCAAAAAGAGAATTAAATCTTTTATATATAAGTATCTGTTTAATTATCTGATAGAAATCAAGCGTAATCGAAAAAAAGATATTATCAGATAGATTTTAAGATTATATTGAACCGATATTAATTGTGATAATAAAAAATTACGTTAATTTATTTATAATTTTAAATCATTTTTTATATACACGATATCGACTGATTTATTCGGTCGTATGAATAAAATGAACTGGTTTGATTAAAGCCCACCATATTTAAAGTACTTGACCTTTGCAGCAAATAACTTTTTCATAAATTTCTCTGAAACTTTATCATATTAAAAGTATCGAAATAATACAAATTTCACTCTGCTTTGCAATTTTATATTCCTCTACAATATTTTTTAGATATTGTATTACATTTCTAAGTAAACAGATCGCTTGGAAATACAATAACTATTCAGACATTTCGAGATTTGTGATATATATAATGTTTGTTATATTCTTCGATAGTTACTTAAATTTAAAAAAAATCCTTAGATTATTTTTAATAAATGTATAATAATTAATCAATGCTTTTATCATTTATTTCTACGTTGAAATTTCGAGAATTATTAGCAAGAGGCACATAATGACGTCTGGCGCAATTTGTAAATCGGCCACCATTATCCGCAGTATGGTAAAGACACTTTGGCAATTTCTCGCAAACGACAAAGTTTGTTAAATCTTCCGGAGTTCCAATAACAATCCATTTCGATCTCACAATGGTTTCTCATTTGTCGAGCACGTCAACGGCGTGGATAATTGCTACTGCAAATTAATCTACGTGTACGTATGGAACTTCACTACGGATTAATGCGGTTCGCGAGTGTAAAGGTGTGTATGAGTAGAAAGCAAGCACAGAAAAGCGGTTTACCGGGATTGCCGGGTATCGCAAGGAAGCGGCTACCAGCATTCAGCGCTGCTCCACTGCCCTGACTTGTTGCGCCGGCGATCGCCGGAGCGGAATTCGATTCCTCCACTAAAAATGAGCATGAAACACAACACCAGGATTGTCTTTTATTTACAAAGGAGGTGCGAGAAGGAACAAAGGATCCACCATCGTAATAACTCGCGATCACTTTGATCTCCAGAGTCATTTAAAATGTATAACAAAACGATTTGCATATATATATCGTCCATTTTTTATCGTATTTTTCATCACGGAAATAGTCCTTCAAGATAATGGGATAAATCGTTAGTCGAAATTAAAAATAGTCGCCTCGTTAGTATACACCAGAGTTTTAAGCTCAATCTGGAAATTTAATCTGAGAAAACATTGTCGCGTGCAAACAAACAGTCTGGTTCCGGAATATTCCATGTATACATAAGTACACGTGCCGATTGCAATATACGCATTCACCGTGGGGAGAAAATTATACATGCAATTGTTTCTATTTTTATATAGAAAATACACGCAAAACACCAGGGACATGGTAAATATATATTACGAAATCTCCTTGTGCGACTTTACCGCACGTTTCATCGCATTGTTGATACTTTAACGTCGCTTCATTTGCATATATTCGTCAGTAAGTTTCGCGTCAGTCGCGAAGCTCAAAATGGCTCACGAACTTTCGAATATTTAGAAAGTATACATAAACAACGAAACACTCCATTAATTAACAAAGAACACAATAACGTGATATTTCATTTAATCACGATCCACTGAATGCGTCCAACATTATATTATTACATTTATGTACTTAATTATAGTAATTCGCTTTGATCTCGGAATCTTAAAATATATATAACTTAAAATGTATAACAAACTGAAAAATTATTGCACTTTTGTAATATTTTACAATAATTTAATTTTGCAATAATATTCATTTCAATATTCATTTCTTTGCGTTTTATGAAACATATATGCATCTCAAATCGTAGCATTAAAAAAAATTATATTTATTTTCGTTTCTTCGCAGGTTATAAGGAGAATGGATTAATGTTAGGAGGATACTGAAAAGAGATTAGTCAATTATAACACTGAGAACTATAAATGCACAATAATAATGAATGTATAGTAGACAGGGTTTACATCGAGTTACGTGCACTTAGTAAGATCGTATAGAAAGATCCATGCCTCATGACTGGAATTATAAACGTTGGCCTACATTATCAATGAAGGAACGTGCATGTTGATCAATGGATAATGAGACCGCGAACGATAAATTGTAGTAACGTCACGTATGATAGGAAGTAAACCCGTCATTCGCAAACATATTACAATTCTCTGTATTCTCATCATACATTTTATATCGCTGTCTGGTCTTATTTGCTTAAACTGAAGGGTGATATTCAATATCAATAGAAAATGGTAATTAGACAGTCACATTTAAAGCCAGTGAGAATACAGATTATGGATAACCACAATCCACTTCTCGTATTGCTGTAACCGCATTAGCAACCGCATAATCAATTTCAGTGAGTATTACGAATGATCAAGATCTAGTCTAGTATTCTGGAGGTAGAATCGAGAACAGTAGTTGTGGCTAGAATAGGTCAGACACGTTATCTACAATGTCATTGACATTTACACTCTTGTCGATAAGGACACGTATTTATAAAAAATAGTATTTTTTTGCAGATTAATCTCTGACTATTTGAATCAGTAAAATGTAAAAAAAAAAAACTCACGGATTGTTTTACGAAATTTTGAATCTTTATACGACATTTATTGCCAGATTACGCGTAATTCTCGTTTCGCGCAAGAGGATGTTAGATAATGTTGTGTCCTTATAGTTGAAACTCTTGTGCATTATAATAAAATACGTAATTACAATTCCATTGAGATAGCTGAAATAGTAGGAGACAGGATTGATAAGAAACCGGAATGAGTTTCTTCGCGCGTCAATCACGAGCTTACGTGATAAGGCACGTGATAAGGCACGAAAGACGATAGAGAAGAGACTTTAGTATAAACGAAAGATAAGTGAGAAGTAGAATTTTGTGCAGATTCGTAGAATCGAGAGTAAACCATCTGGTAAGCTAACCTTTTAGAGGACACATCGCGAACCACGTCGTGAATCCCACCACGTGGGGGATGCCAAATTCGTCTGACAAAAGAAAAGAAACGATGGTAAGTTACAAATTTTCGACCGGCTTGAACTCCGGAGCATGAAGAGAGTGACTCGATGAGGGCGATGAGCAGTCTTGATGACGCCAAGTATTTCACATTGACAATCAATTAGCAAGACAATCACCAAGAAACATCAGGCAGTTGGGGAATGACCATGATGGCTTGTAAATCCAATGGATCGCGGACGGATCCAGCGACAATCGAGATTGTCTTGATCCTCGCTTGATCGGCACGCACTAAGACACACAATCCAATGATACGAAGTTATAGCTAAAAGTATCGCTTGCCTCCCAAATTCATAGATTATCATTCTAAAATTTTAAAATTTTCTCCTTAGTACATTCAATTAAATTATGTATACAAACTTTCTTTGAATTATACTGTTCTATGTCCTTATTGGCATATTGGGATGTAAGCTTATTCAGTTTATCAATCACGAATCTCTCAGGATCGAAGTTGCAGAACTAAACTTGCCAATACTTTTAATTTCGCCCAGCAATAAAAATACCCTAGAATTTGCGAAGCGATCGATACACGCATGTTGTAATTGTTAGTGGGTTGTTCCATTGGGGTGTAGTTAGAAAAGCGACGGAAGCACCACAATCCAAGGCTGCTTAGCGGATGAACTGGCCTAAGTTGTACCTGGAACCAGAAGGTACGGCCCTTTGAGGTCTTTCGCCTCTTTCGACAGCGGGGCCGTGTTCGAGTTCGGGCAGCTGCTGCTACGAGCGACGGACGGTACGTAAGTATCCTTCGGATCACGACGCTCCTGCAAATCTGACGTCAACAAGGCATGCATACCACATGAACAGTCGCAATCTGAAAATGTCGATTGTGTCGTACGTGTTTTAACAAAGTTAGCACACCCTAGGACCCTTGGACCCGACTCTTTCGTCTCGCCACCGTCATCAGGGTGGTCTTCAACGAAAATGCAGGTGAAAATAAAAACAAAATTGGATTAGAAATTAAAAGAAATCAAATTAAATCAAACTCTTTTAACGACCCGAAATATTAAAGATTAATAAAAGAAAATTAATGAAAGAAAAATCTTGTAATATATAAAAATTCATAATACAAATAAAAAAGTCGATTTTAATTCAGCGCTTTAAAAAAATTTATTATTATTATTTATTTAAACTTTATTTCGGATCATTATGAGTCTAAAAATAATAAATTAAATATACATATATTAAATTAAATAATAAAAATTATGACGGGATATAAGGATAGTGTTTTGTTTAAAAACTATAATAATTATTATAGTGTTTACACCATATATCATATATTATAATAATTTTATTTTTTAAACAAAATCTATTTATTAAATAAAAAACGAAATATAATTTAAAAGAAATAACAAATTAAATATGAATATAAAATAAAAAAAGGGAAAACACACGTGGAGAAGGATGCGTTAGGTATAAGGTAACGGGGTGGTGCTAAACGCTGAGATAATCTGTGTTTTTCTGAGCGCCCATGTGCCTGATATTAAAAATACTATGTACATTATTTGTATAGAATCATCGGCAACCTGTCGAAAAGTAATTTATCGATAGTGTGAGAGAAAGATGTAACGTGAAACTTACTCTTCGAGGAGGAATGATTGCGTCCTATCTCAGCTAACGATCTTATGATCGGTAACTTTGACATATTATTGTCTTTACGTCTCTCATGTTGGTGTCGATGTCGGACGAGAAGGGCTTCTCTCACCTGAAATGATATTATACTCTATCTGATTGATTTATTAAAGATACGCGTGTGCCTGACGTGTCGAAGTATTGATTTACGAGTGCAAATCAAAAATATGAGGAATAAGTATAGACAAATCATAAATCTTTTAGTTCTCTTAAATCAATAAAGAGTGACGTTACTTTTTCCATCAGCGGTGACATTACTTTTCGTGTAATCAATAACTTAGTTCCCATTTTAACGAGATATGAATGAACTTTGTATATGTGTTATATCAATGACAAAATGTGAGGATTATAAAAGTATTTGTGATCTATTTAAGAATATCGCGGTAAAACTTTTCACTTTCATAAGACAGTTATTCGAATGATTTTTTTCGCGTACATTGCTGTATTCTTACCTTCTCTCGCAATTCGACTGACAGTACTCCTTTATTTATCATATTATCGAGAACAAGATCAGCTATTTGTTCTAAGCTGCCTGCTTCCATATCGAGCATAACGGTTCCATTTAAAAGCAGGCTCCTTAACTCAAAGAGTGAGTGCAGTGATAAAGTGGCAACATGAGGTTTGCTCCACCTATTGCCGCCTTCTTCAACATCTTCCTCGAACTTGATCCATCTGTGTACATTATATTTGTACGTAGAATATTTGTATGTACGTATAATATTTGCGATACTCTTCTTTATTAAAATGTTTTTTATTTTATTTTGAATATTAAAAGTTTCACACAGCTCTTTTTTTAAGCTTGAAATATGTATAAATTTAAAACGCTTTGATCTGCTGTCAAAGAATTATTATTACAGTATATTATGCATAAAAATTTTTACTTTTATGCATAATATACTGTAATAATAATAATTATTTTTATTATTTATTATTAATATTTTATTTATCGTTTAATTATTTATTTTGACGTTCAAAGTACTACAATCATGTATTTTATATTATACGTATTTTGTTATATAATTGTTCTGCATACGCAGTCCGAGATAATTCGATATTATTTTGATTATGGACGTACGCTATTATGAAACGGATGATTTCAATGCGTAAACATATTATCGTATTTAGGTATAAAGGTTAAAATCGACGAAGTGGAGTTCTTGATTTTTACCTCGCTGTTTCCTTCCATTCCATTTCATCGCCATCTTTGACGAGCTCCTCCATCTCCGAGAACAACGGATGCGATTCGTGTGCATCGTCACCGACTTCTTCGCCAAGGATAAACTGTACTCTCTGGGCTGGCGGAGTGACTAAACAATTGTGCAATAATCCGTGAATCGCCAATTTCAAAGTTGTGATCAGAAACGAGAGTATATACAATATTCATACAGAGAGGACATACATTTACATCAGAATATATATGCCAAGTATAACAAGATATAACAGATAAGAAATTTGTTTTAAATAATATTGTTTACGAAATATTTAGCAAAATGTGATTAAAAAGTTAACAAATACAAAATACATACAATATTATAATATTATAACATTCTGGTCTCAATTTTTCATTATGTACATTATTCATCAAATAAATTATTCATCAAAATTAAGAATGACAATTTTTACGAGAGCTTTCACGTTAATCAGAGATAAATAACGAATTATTAAGAAAAATCGACTATTCTTATTTACGTGCAGAACAATATGCAAGCAAGTAAACTATCAATTTCCATGCTATGTTGCATTTTATTCTTTACGCATCTCAGCGAATGAATGTAATGTTTAGAAAGAAACATTGCGTATCTATATAAAAGAGAAACTAGATTGTTTGTCTAATGAAATATCAACAGAGATAAGGTAAATTCTTATATGTCTAAAAAAATTCTAAAAAAAAATTGTAAAACAGAATGATCAAATGAAAAAATAAGATTTAGCTGGGATTAAGAGATGTTAGGACAAAATTTAAGTATTCAACGTTATTTGATGTCAATGAAACTTATAAATGGGGAAAAAAAGGGCAGATTTCGTTTCCGAAACATCTCTTGAGTATCGGTCACGTCAATTTTAAAGCGGAATGAAAAGAAGTTGACGTTGATCGATCGACCGACAAATAGCGTAAAATGTATAGACATATATTATGCGTATGAACGTATGTATACGCCATGATAGATGACGCATGCACATTAGAAAGATTTCTTTGAAAAGACACATAGAAAGCAGAATGAAAAGATAGAAATCTTCAGATTAAAACAATTGTGTAACCTGTTGTGTAATGTAAGTCATATAGTTAGAGTTGGGTAAAATACTATTTTATATAAAATATATAGTAGGAGAAAAGGCTATTCCATAACCCCGACCTGTTCTATAACTATCGCCGATGTAAAGAAAGACTTTTAAGGTCAATCAATTATTATATACTGACCTATAAGGTCTTATCACAGAATTATTTAAAGCGTAATTTATATATAAATATTTTTCATAATATGTTATATTTTTAAATATTATATTTATTTTAATAATATTTGTGAATAATTTATTTCGTACCTCAATTTTAAAACGAGAAAAATAAATACGAGAGAATAAATGTATTCAATTATAATAATTAAATTACAAATCTCCTGTAGGCAACTTTATTATTTCACATATTCAATAATACAGAAAATTTTAAAAATACCCAATCGCTATGTGAGCGACGTATTTACTCGTTTATTGTAACATTTCTCATCAACGGCATTTCTATCTCGCAAACGTAGAAATAGCGTTCTTACCCTCCTCTGAAATTATGTATATGTGTTTTGTGTCGTGCGTCGTCAAAATTTCGGTACCGTTCGTACATCCCACAAGATTGTAAATATGTATTTATTTTCAACTTGCGCATTGCGTAATCGAACATTATATCTATCATAATTTGCACCGGACACCTGCGGAATTAATAAACTCACACGCGTTGCAACGCATGGCAAGGCACTTATGGTACAAATGCGTTCGATAACATGAAATACAATCACGGTTTATGTAACGGTAATCAACGAATCAAGACGACGTCTGTGCGATATACAAGTTACTTGTGACTGATAAACGTTGATGCGCGTGACGCGATTATCGCAGACATCTGAAACATTACGTTAGATTTAAAATCTCATCAAGATTGTTATTTTTCGCGAGACGTAATCTTGATGAAAGCGTCATCGGTAACCAAATGCCTCGTTGATACCTCATGTACAAACGGTGGTATAATAGCGAAGACGTGAGCGACGTGAAATTATTCAACGAGAAAACTTGAAGGATTGCGTTGCAGGATACACGAACGATCTCGCGTAAAGTATTTGCATCACATAAAGGAGCCTCGTATGTATGCATAAGGGTGGCTTACATATCATCTCGCCGGCGGGGTCGCAGATGCTAGCGAGACGACCCCTGCGCGCCATCAACAATTGTCCTGCAATGTCAACGGCGATACCGTGTCATTCGGACTAAAGGAATATTGATTTTTGAGAGAATTTCTGTTAAATCTCTTTTTTTAGATTATTGACAAATGAGATGAGCGGATTAAATAATTCCAATTTAATTACGAAAAACAAACATCCTCTTTCGCCTTTTTACAAAGAAAATTATTTTATTCTTTTTATAATTATTACTTGATGTAGTAAAACATTGTGTTACTGTTAATCTACCAATTGTGTTCTCAATTACAAAGAATCACGAATGTAAGCACGAGAATTGCGATATTGATTAGCTGTTCTTGATGAAGAATATTTTCATCACTCGACGTATACACGATGTTTACTAAAGTCGTGATCGGATATTTATGATGAAAAATGTTGACAACGTATTGATTAAGTAATACCTCGAATATTTCTCATCACTGATATGTATAAGAAATATATTCACGTAAAGGGAATTCAATTTATTTACTTCGATTTGATAATAACTACAGTTTACGTCAAAACCTTATAACGCTTCACTAAACTTCTATACTTAATAGCTCTCTCAAAGTTCTGGTAAGTAGCATTTACGGACACAAATAAGAAGAAATATATCAGATTTTTAAAAGCTATGCTTTTCACAACTTGTTTTTATTACATAATATATAAAAAGTATTTATTTGATATGTGTATACGATATGTAAAACTTTATATATCTTAAATTATATTAATAATAGATAAAACATAACATTCTTATAGTGATTAAATAATGAAAACAGAAGAATTTTGTTTGATTTTATTTTTCTTTTATTATAATAATTATTTTCTATTATTGATTTATTAAATTCATAATCTTTATTTATATGATGTGACCTTCATATTTGCTTCTTTTCTAAATATTTTTAAATAATAATCAATAAGTGAATCAAATGATTGATTATTCTATGCAGAATTTAAATCTTCTTTTTTCTCTTCTTTGATTTAAATAATTTATTATTTATAAGTTGATTAGTATATACATTAATTTAAAAATTAGCACAAATTTTTAAAGGTTTATTAAATTTTTACGATTAAACTTTGAAATCCATCACTAGACTAGCTAAAAAATAAATGAATTAGTGATAACTAATATAACATGATTCTATAAAGTTATGAAGATCTTTCGATGTTATAAAATAAAATTAGCTATATCTATAAAAGAAATCGAGCGATACTTGAGATCAGATAATCGATTCAGTCTATAGCGGTATAAATTAATTTAATTAATATACGAAGTGAGAAATAGAAATGATATACATATTTCAGCATTTTCAGGAAAATATTTAATATTTTCTTGAAATATTTAAGTTAAAATATTTAAGTCTAATATGTACAAAATTTTTAATAGATGGCTATTACAATATTTAATACTTCAAATCTATTTAATATGTTTCAACTGTATTAGTTTTAATTTTAATATTCTATATCTTTTGATAAGAATTAATTTTTGATTTTCTTTCATAAAAAATCTTTTTAAATGTCATTTCTTTTCGTTGTTAGTTTTTAAGTTTGAGTGTATAAAGTGACGCCATTATTAGCACCATAATAATAAATTCTAAAGATTGTGCATTTAGTGTCATTATTGGCACTGAATGTACATTCTTTAGAATTTATTAGCCATTGTAGATACGAAGATATTGTAAGTCAATAATAAAATGATATTGTGGTCAAGTCATAAATGCTTTGCTGCGGCAGAAATTAAATGGATAGCGCTATAGTTAACTGATAAAGAAATTGCAATGAGGTTGTACTTTCGTGAGAGTCCTTAAGAAATCTATTTCCTTAAGATGTGACAAGTGTTTGTTTCGTCGACTTTTGTCAAACGAAATAACACGAAATACATACATATACTGTGTATCAAAATAGATATACTTTGTAAAATAAACAACATAATAATAGATACTTCTCTTATATGCTCAATTCTATTTCTTGTGCATGTTCTTTTCAACTGGATAATTTGTATTAGAAAAAACGAGTTTTATCTGTATAAAATTGAATTCAAATTTAAATATTTTTTTTATGTGATTATTCTATTAATTTATAAAAATTTGATTAATTTGTAAATAATTTACACAATATTTATCTACAAATATATCTAATTAATTGATCATTCTTTTGAATATGCGAAAAGCAACACGCGCGTGCGTTTCATTTAGTAAAAACATTTAGAGATTTGACCTAGGAAATTTGCGCCTTGGAAACCTGACGATCGATATTTTCCAAGCATTTCATCTTTATCGTGTTTTACTCATTACAAATAACCTGATCAATTATTTTACCGTCTTTTCAATTTTTCGCTAAAATATACTTTACGGCAAATCGTCCCGATTTTATCCGATTTTAAAAATACTTCACTTTATCCAGAAATTTCTGTGAAGAATCTTTTTTAATATACTATTACACAAAGATCTTTTGATGTATTAAGATGTAGAGCTACAGAGAAAATAACACTGTAAATTAATATACAAACACATTTTACTTTAACTTATAATAATTATCTGATAAAATAAAAAATAATAGAAAGTTCAATTTTTTATCAATAATAGATCAACTTGATAATAATAGTTTTTTTTGCATAATTTGTGTACTAATTTTATAAAATTTGGTTAAAATTATTATTAGTATTTTACGTTTATGTTATCGTTATTTTTAAAATACAGAATGTTATTTCTTTTCCGTAAGACTTTTTTTTATCAAAGATAATAAATATAATAACTGATAAATGGAGCTAATTCTGCAAGCTAGTATATACCAGGGAATGGAAAGTTACTTTTTAAAAATAACTAGTTACAGTTACTCGTTACCGAGTAAAAAATGTAACTAGTTACAGTTACAGTTATCGCTTTTTAAAAGTAACTCGTTACAGTTACCGTTACTTGAAAAATAACTTTTCGTTACTTTTCCGTTACTTTTTTAAAATCAATTTAAAAATGTACTTTTGCATTTTTTTTTATATGTAATACTGACAAATATACAGTTTAAAAAAAAAAAAAACAATGTAGAATGGCTCAAATAATAAATTAAATAAAAGTAAAATGAGAAGGGTTACGAGCCAAAAATGAAACAGTTTATTTCCGATAAGAACGACGATGACAATGTAATTAAATGTATAAATATATATTAGAACAATACAAAGATAAAAACAAACGACGTTTCGACACTTATTGTCATCGTCTTTTAAACTGTTTCGCTTTTGGGTTCATAACCCTTCTCATTTTACTATTATTTAATTTATTTTTTAATTTTTTTTAAACACAATTTTGTAATTCTAAAACCTGTAAAATATGCAGCAAACTGAAATATTTGTATGTCCTATGTATTACATAGAAGATAGAAGTGTAAAATAATTACTGAATCATAACGGCCGAATGTCTAAGGGCTTTCAAGTCATATTGATAAGCGCTAAATAGCATGTATCCAATCGAACCGTGTTCAATCGTGTGCAAAGTAACGACAAAAGTAACTGTAAATTTCGTTACCGTTACCCAAAAAATGTAACTCGTTACCGTTACAGTTACCAAAAAAAGAAAGTAACGCAGTTACCAGTAAAGTTACCAAAAAAATAACTTGTAACTGTAACTTCGTTACAAGTAACGAGTTACTTCCATTCCCTGGTATATACATACATATACATATAGATAACAATATAGATAACAAATCTAATTTGATAAATTAATAATAGAGTCATAGATATTTCGCCCTTAAATGCGGCTCTCTTCAGTATGTTGTTCGAATTATAACAAAAGCAATACATTGAAATACAAGGTGAACATCAAAAATAAAAATCATACGCTGTAACATTATTTTTAATTGTTGTGCAAGAGTTAATAGTTCTTGCACATTTATGACAATGTTAATTTCAAAAGTAAAGTAAATGTTCAAATATAAAGAGAGTAGTTTTATTATTATAGAGTAGATAACTCCTTTGAATGTGTAATTAAAAATTAATTGTGTTAATATGTGCGATAGCAACAATTTGCATAATATTCTGTATATCAATTAAATACGAGTCGCTTTTCAATAATCATTTTTATTTTTCTTCGTCTTGGTTGCACATAAAATCGTAAATTCCCATAGCCTTGTACTGAAGAGCTAGTACAGCATTTCGATATCGACTGTCTTCTTATATCTGAGGTATCAGAAGTAGGGTGAACACCCGGTTAAGTCTCGACAAGTGGTTGGCGCGCTGCCATGTTCGGTTTCAATATCGCCGCAAAAGCGCATATCAGGCACTTTAGCATTTTGAACTGTTTTTAATATAAAAAAGTCGTTGCAAATTTTTAGAATAATCAGTGTAACAATAATGCCATACAATGATCGCTATTTCTTAAATGCGATAAAATTTGAGTAAACAAAGTATAGCAAAATATACGTCAACGAAGTGCGAAGCTCGCGCCGCTACAAAATGCAAGGCGGCGACCCTCGTTTCATTTTTAGACTAGTACAGTCTTCTTTTTATTGTTAGATTTACTGACTGTCCTAAGTAACAAAAATAGAAAATACATATCTTCATATAACTGTTAAAATTTATCTTATAAAAAATCAAACATTTTATATAGATATTATATTTAATAAAATAGATGCTCTCTTTCTTTATTAGAAACTGTGTATTAAATGTAATATTATATAAATAAAAAATTCGTGCGAAAAATTAAAATTTCTTCTGCATTCAGAAACTATATAATATTTTATATACAAGAACAATGTACAATTTATAAATTGTTATTAAAATTATATGAACAAAAACACATTGATAATAATTAAAATAATTATTTTGTATATATTTTTAATTTACAGAATATTTCTCTTATATCCATAAAAACATTATAAAATATATAGTATCTAAATTATAAATAAATTAGGAAATTAATCTTATATTAGAAAAATATTTATGTATCGTTTTTGAAGCACAAAGAACGTAGTATGTATTGGTGCCAAATTCTGAGAGTTGAAAATAGTATAAATATCGTGGGATGAATACGATATATTATAAGACCTGACTGTTTCATTGTATTGCAAGTGCATTAAATTAACTTCCAAGCTGAAGCGATGAAGACTAACAATAAGTAAAAATAAAACGTTTTTATTATTTTTCTATTTTTTTAGAGAATAAATTTGATTATTGTTCTTATCTTGTTCTTATAACATCCATTATATATTACTCGATTTTGGCCACTTAAAACAACCTTATACTTTATTTATCATTATTGAAAAATGCAATGGAAGAATATGTAAATTTCTTACAATTTGATCTGATATATTGTATTACGTTAACACATATATGTATATATTGTATATGAAAACTTCTGCTTGATTTAACTCTTTCACATTTTTGTACGAATTCGTATGTACCTATATGAAAAGCCAAGTTATATTCCATATGTAATTAACGTTCGGCGTGCCGCCTACGTGTGAATCCTCCTTTCTACCTCAACGTTCTATTAAGCCGCAGTATTTGAAACATCCGTCTATTGACAGGATTGTTGGATACGATAGCAATCAAATCGTTTGCGATATATCGAAATAGTTACGCGTGAAACAATATATGTATAAATGTTTGTGTATAGAGTATACAAATAAATTATGTATAATTTTACAATAGAGAGACATGTATCAATCCAAACAAACATTAATTAATAATAACTGTTAATTAGAATTTCTTACTCAATAATGTAACAGTAATACATGTTGTATGTAACAATTATATTGTTGAATACGAAATTAATATAAGAATTTGTAACCAACAATTATATTACTATATTAGCTAGTGTTTACTAGGAATCCACGTAAAATACAAAACTTTTTTTCGATAAATTGTTACTCGTAAGTCTATTCTATTGAATTAATCCCCTGATGTTGAAGGATAATCGAATTGACATTAGTAATCAACAACAGAAATGCTCAAACATCTATTTCAGAATTACCACATCCGCACAGTATTATTTTGTCATTATATAGATTACGTTTTCATACCGATATGTCATTATACTTTGTTACTAATTGAACAAGGTCAAAGTATTACACAAACGCGACATCATTATTGACAAGAATCGCACAACTTTGTAGAGTACAAAGGAAGAAAAATAAGGATCGACTTACTCGGTCTATCGCTGTCGGAGTCCTCCTTACCACAGGGGTACGACTGCCGTTGTGAATGATGGTGCTTATGGTGCCGACGGTGTCTCCTCTCCCCTGGTAAATGCACGCCCACATACACCGTGTGCGCCCTGTGACCTGGAAACAGATGAAAGGGATGCCCCGTCATATACAGTGCCTCACAACTTACACTATGGGAAAGATGCTCGGATTTAGAGCGATTCTCCCTTATGAAAGTGCACGCGACACACGAACTTTTCTTTTATTACACGAAAGAAAATTAGGTCAGCGTCATTTAATCGCATAATCCTATCTGTGAAAATGTTCACGTGAGCCAAGTAGATTTCTACAGAAGTAAAACATCATTGTGTATTGATGAGATTTACGCATAGACTATAATTCGAATGAAAGGTCAGGTGTTAAAATGAATTCACGCAAGCGAAAAGGTCAACATACTCGCGCCGAATTTATAACATTGAGCATGAATAGTTGAATTTAATTCGGATGAATTTCACACGTGTAACATATATATATTAATAACGTGCTATTAACTTTTCTGATATTATATAATTTACATACATAATTACATCTTATAAATATACGAAATTTATTCATTTTTTGATTACTTTTATTAGCTAATTGTCGTCTACGTTATTACACCTGTCAACTTAAGAATGTCATAAAAGATATATAATAACTAAACGGACAGATAAATTTATATTATGCTATTAAAGATCACTAAAAATGTTCTCTACAGATATACATATAAACATAATCGGATATCAATATTATAGTCTATATAAATAGTGTTAATTTAAAATATATTTATATTTTTATGCATATTTTAAATATACTCGTATATGTCTAGATAATTTAGTTAGATGTTTTTTGTAATATGAATTTATATTTGCATAAAAAGATCGAGATGCCGTAAACTGTGAATATAATCAGATATTCAATGAAAGCTTTTATTTTTTAGAGCAGCTTGACATATTTCAAGAAAAAGTTTCGTATCACGTCAATCATAAGAGGTGAACAGCTGCCGAACTGGGCGATCAATTTGTTTTGTTGGATAGTTCAGCGATACAAGACCATCACAATATGTATGGCCTCTATTCGCAGATTTCGATATGAAGTGACCTCGCAAGCCCATATCCATCCACAGTCAATGTTGTTTGACGAAGTAACGATTTTCGAAGCACCTACATGCGCGAGGTTCGTCATGTGAGCAAACACTGAAGCCAGATTCGTATCAAACTGACCTATAGCAGATGCAGGCGTTATTGCCTGCTGTAGACAATGCTTGATATATTTCAGCAAAAGCTCATTTCATGTACCCATTTACTTATAAGATATTCACGATCGTGAAAAATTTATGCGAGTTAATACCAAGAATCATCAGAATAGTTATCCTCACAGTGATATTCTTCGCGTCAGTCTTTGTCAATTAAATTGATATTATTTTATCGACTGCATAAATAAAATATTATATCTCTATTTTTAGTAAAAGATCTGCAACTAAAGCTTCTTATCGAAATTTAAATAATGGAAAGAAAATTCATCAAATTTCTTATACGTATAATACCCTCCAAAAATAGATATGGACTTGATAAGTCAAATATAACCGCAGTTCGATATCAATGAATCGACTGTTCTATTTTATTAAATAACTTCAACTTATCACCTACAACATAACCATTCTCGTAGAGTTTAAACATTTCCAATGCGTACGTTTTAGGTTTAAATCTATCCAGCACAAAAAGCAATTCTATTTCGAATACTGCATTTAATTATTTAATCGCTATAACTCAAATTATTTAATAGTCAACATAAATGTAATTAGTGAATGTTTAATATTATAATTATGCATTATTAAAAATATATCATCTAATAAAATTAAAAGTAAGTTTAATATAAAATTTAAACATATAATATCGACTAAAAAGGTATTTTATTATAATACATAAATAATTGATTACAATTGACTTTAATTATAAAATTATATATTTTCAGAGACTTGTGAGTTATAACGCGCGATAAAAGAAAAATATTCTTATATCTCTATCTTGTAAAACGATATATAATGGTTAAAATTTAATTATGAAATGTCTTATTTAATTCAAATTGGATCAAATTACTTTAGAAAATAATTTTCTATTTGTGTACAACTTTCTAAGATACAATGTTTTGTGTATTACAATAATTACGCCTATAATGATTAACTCTCATTAATTTTAGGAAAATTGAGAAATCTAAACATTGTTTACCTTCATAATCTTTTTCCGTGTAAGACTGATGGGTGATCCGCGCGCCCGGGTCTTTTGGGGCCTCATCGTCACCTGTCCCGCCCGGATGGGCCCCGCCACTGCCGGCTCGCGGCTGCATCCACGGCCTGTAAAAATAAATTGAACGTTCGATTCAATTATCGCAATGCCAATGGCGACGACGGCTCTGTATGCATCTGTATATCAACGCGGACGCAAGTTTCTATTATTAGAGCATTAACGAGTTCCCAACCGGCAGAAATATCATCAGGTTCGTTTATTCGTGATTTTGTTCTCTTTCCCGAGAAACGTGCTTCTACCGCATTTTCCTCCGGTGAGCACCCAATCGGTATTTTATTAATAAAGCTCAATACAAATTTTGTTGTTAACTTGTAGTCCATTCGGTGGATGCACATTGGAAGTTGCCTATTCATTCTGACCATGGTGCCAAATGTGTGCACACGAGCGTACATCAACGCAAATTATTTCGTAGGTGTCTGTCCACAACCGGCCACAACTATTGACACCAGTTAATAATAATTAAGCTTCCACCGTCGGAGTCACTTTGCACGCAACTGCTTCCTACTCATCTTTCTCCTTCCGCTTCCATGCTATTAAGTTTCATATTATTAATTTCAATCCTTCTCATTTCTTCTGTTTAATTGGTTAATGTAGTTTATTTTTATTTTATGTATTTAAATACATGAATATTTGATTTATCATTTATATATAATTGTAATAATATAATTAATATGCAACCTTTTCGATCAAGTTTAGGTCAATTTTGTTTCTTCCTTAATAAAAATTTAATTTTATTCTGATAATCAAATTAGAAATTGTATGTATAATTTTAAAATTATATGGCTATCTATAATTTTGCATAATTATATAGGTGTCTGCAATTTTGCATAATTAATCTTGTAATTAAATAATTCTCTAGCACAATAATATCATACATGTATACATATTCATCTCGTATTCGTGACATTGCATTTGTCCCCGTTTGCAAATTATCGCTAGCTAGCTTTTATGTATTTTACTGTCCTTGCAAAAGATATATAAATTTCAACGTTCTCGTCGAGCTTTCGCTCGGTAACGAAGATGAATTTAGCACATTCTGTGGTTAGCTCGACGACGATTTTATTCATATCAGAAATTTCATAATTGATCTTCTAAAAGTAAAACGATCATATCTCTGAATAGAATAAAAGAAAATTATTTTTTACAAATTGGATTAGATTAATGCACAACTTTAATAGTCATTTCATGTCTTCTTTATGTATGTAATAACAATGAATAATAGTATAATAATAAATGAAAAACAATTTAAATGTTAATTAACGCATAACAAAAATGTTTAATAAAGACAATTAGAATAGGAATAATAAAAGCATTAATAAAAATATTTTGTCTATGAAATTAAAATACAAATTTATGTTTACAATTTAAATTTTATATTTAATAACTTAATGTGATTATATATATAACATTAACAATGTTCATTATGCTTAAATAATAGTTAATCAAAAGATATATAAAAAAATATATAATATATAATATTCAATAATGTGATAATTTATACACAAAAAATTTTTTAGTAAAAAGTGCCTATATATATTTTTAAATATTTATATTGTTTTATTTAAGTTTTTATTTATGTTTAATTGAAGTATTGCTTCGTTTGAGCTACACATATCTTATCACAGCTTGTTCAATTGGTTTATTTTCTATTTAACTGATAATACTAAAAATTCTATAACTATAGTAAATACTATTTTATTCTGACGTATTCACGTATTACACATTCTCTCCATTCTTATATTACATAAAAAGCCCGACAACTTTCTTTCGGTGCAGCGCAACACGGAATAAATGTATTAAATCGCTTCATTCGATAAGTGCAGTTGACAACTGACAAGTTTGAGAAATCTTTTAAGAATCTTTTCATGAATCTATGCAAAAATGAAAAAAATCGAAGAAATGAAAGATGAGACAAACGTCAAAAGAATTTCTGTTTTGTATTTAATTAAATATGAGATAGAAATTGTAGATTGATCGCAAAATAAAAAAGGAGCAATAGACGTGGATGAGAATACGAGTAATCTAAACACGATATTCTTTTAACTGAATAAACTGGAAATGCGAAATGAATTTAATCAACCCACGCAAAAGCTAACATTTTGCTTTGTTCAGATATTATTCAAATGTTATTTGTACATTTGAAGCAATCCTAGAAAATAAATTGTTATTTGATGTTAGAATGATGATAAACAACATCAACTTGTTTTCTGAGATATTACATTACAAATTATAAATTATAAATACATGCATATTAAAATAATGCATTATCTCAAAAATGTAAATTCATGACATTTAATTATGTATTATACAAAATTATATATTATAATATATTATTTTTATACGTTATAACAAAAATTCAACACAGAAATCTATAAAAATATCTTTCTGAATGCATTTGAAATAGTCCGTATAATTATGTACATTTCCGGAAATTAGGTACATAATTAAACATTAATTCCAACAGATTGCTTTATAATACAATATTACAAATTTTTCAGCTTAATAGATAATCATTTCTGTTTAGTTTTTAAGCTTCTGGAATTTCAGAGAATCTTTTTTTCTCCTAATTAAAAGTACTTTCCGCTGTTTTTTCTCAAGAGAAATATAAGCGTAATAATATAGTTGTCTATTACAATATCTTCATCTTGTCCCGTGTAATCATCTTCTTCCTCTGAGACATTTACTAATTTCCTTTTGCGTTGACATTCTTGAGTTCTCTGTTCTCACGGTTATCAAAGCTAACTTTAATGTTAAATATGTAATGTTATATCAAAACATAATAAAAATAATTACCAACAATCAAATATATAATAATTAACTGAAAAGATTAATTTTTTATAAGAAAAGAAAATATTCAACTTGAAAGTATCTGAGAAATAAATAGTATTCATTAATTTTCCACTTATATCACAGTGTGCGAAATGTTTATCTTTTAATTGTCTTTTAAATCTACAATTTCCTGAAATTAACGAATAAGTCGATCAAAGATTTAAACAAGTGGCAGATATGCATAAACAATTTACTTTGCAAACAAAAGTTTAATGTCAGTATTATTATCTAGAATGTAAGTTTCTTAGAATAATAGAGATAGATGCTGAAGTATAATTCTCATATATCGTATCATATATACACTTATACATATATCGATCATACAACAGCCATAGTCACGTTACTTTCGATATTTTACGTTCAACTTTGCAGAAGTGACTAAATTATCATGTATAATCGCGATTTAATTTTGAGATATAAGCAACAAGTTCATAGAATAACTTAAGTTTCGCACGTGCCTATTTCTTCTGTTTGCGATTATTTAAAAGTTAAGATTGAGAGAAAGTTACTTTGTAAAGTAACTAATTACAATTTTTTTACTTTAAAAAAATAACCAGTCATTGTTACGTTTAAATTAAATATAAGTTTTTTCGAATATTTTGAAAAAATTCATGCTTCAGCAAAAATATTGGTTTAAATGCAGCAATGATTGCAATTATTTGTATTACAAAAAAGTGTAATTTCAATAGAATTCGCTAAAATATTATGTAATATTTATTTTTATAAATTTTATGTATAATACATATTACTATAATAAAATGTTGGTAATATAATATTATTAAATTTAATTAACAAAGAACAACTGTAACTTGAAGGAAGTGTAATGCACTGTATCGTCATGGTACTTCTTCATGTCAAATAATGCGTTATAAACGAACATGTAAAAAGATGTGTTACACTACGATTATCTACCTACGCTGAGGATGTTAATTTTGACACGCGTTTTATACATTTTGTGCTTTGTCATCTTATAACAAAGATTAAATTACCTACATTAAATATGTGTGTGGAGATTATAATAGTCTTTTCATAATGATCTTCGGTAACTTGAAACTTTTTGTAGCTTGTTTTTATTCAATACTTGACATTTGTACTTTTAAATAAAGATCTTTTTTTCATTTTCTTTGCATATTCGATTACTGTTTTATTCGGCGGCAAATATACATAATTAATGACAAATACAAAAGGAACTATAATAAATTGAAATATTAGCTTCGTATGTTAAAAATTTTGCTACCTTATTGTTGAAGTAATAAAATTTCCTCTTTTGTTCCTGGCCTTGCCGACAACCTTAAACGCCGACGATGTTCAATCACACGACATAAAAAACATATGACGTTCACCGAGGGTGCACGACATTTCTTATATCTACTTCTCGAACGACACGTGGCGGGAAACAGTCAAACACACCGCACATGCATCTCGTCGCAGATGCAACTGGCGCAAGATGAGCTTTACACGATGCAAATCAGTCACAGACGGAGCGGGGAAGACGGATCGTTTATCTGCTTTTTCGTAGGCGCTGCCAGGTGCAGCTCTCGACAAACGCAATTGCATGGAGCTCGATATAAACGCGGAACGACGCATGCACGTGCTGTCAGGGTCGCCTCCGTTTCAGTGTCTCCGCGAAGAAAAATAGTAGAATAACATTGACGCCGCGGTCCCGCGTTATGCATCCTAAATGTTGAGTGATATTTGAAAATCTGCATCTTATGTTGCTTCTTAATTTAATTATATTAAACTGAGAAAAATGTCTTGTTGAAAATAAACGAATTAAAAGATTCTCTAACTATGTCAATCACAATTCTGATTATCTCAATTAGTATTCTAGCAGATTTAAGCAGAAAATTCTGATTCGTTCATTTTCAATTAGACAACTAGATATTTTCCTCAGTGTAGGTTGTGTAATATTGAAATATACTTGCTGATACAACGATCAGTTCGTATATTATTAAAAGTGTTAAATGAATATAGATGTAATGATAGTTGAAAAAATTGTTTTACCCTTTGTGATATTATTAATCTCGTCGAAAAATTTTTTAATGAAGACAATCCATGATCCATGCATCTTTTATTAATTGAATGTTTTAGACTGCTCGTAATCTGCGACAATCATTAGACAGAACATCAAGATTGCATTGTCATTGAATTGTCAACTACCGATTACGAATCGTCAAGTGGATAATTATCACAATATATGATTACCCAGTTTATATCT